CTTTCACCAGGTGGGGAAAGTTTTCTGTCACTATTTCTTTCAGTATGTTTTCGATATCTTGCTCTCTCTCATCTTCTGGGACCCCCATAATTCTGATGTTGGTTCGCTTGAAGTTGTCCCAGAGGTTTCTTACATTATCTTCAACTTTCTGGATTCTCTGGCCTTCTTGCGTCTGCGGAGGAGTGTCTTCTGGCTCTTTATGTTCCAAATCTTTGACTTGATTCTTGCGATCTTCCATTCTGTTTTTAGGACTCCATAAAATATTTTTTATTTCAGACAATGTATTCTTTATTTCTTGTTGATCCCTTATTATTTCTAGTTGACCCCTTTTCATATCCTCATAGGTCTTGTTTATTTTATCGGCCTTTTCTAGGAGATTCTTGAACTACCTTATAAGTGTGGTTTTGAACTCTATATCCAGTCGCTTTTTGTCCTCCATTTCTTTCGTTTGTGATCTATTTGGTTTAGGCATTTTTGCAGGCAGCTTTCCTGATGGGGCGGGGTTTCAGGGTGGAGCCTACAGCCTTGGCTTCCGTTAGCCCCGCCCTATGCGACTCCTGAGACTCAGGGTCCTTCAGTACTTGTTGCGAGCCCCTCTGAGAGAAAGGTGCCCTCGATTTTTGCCTGCTGCCAAACTGTCTATGCTCTCCCCCAATGAGTCCGGTATTGGGGTTCAGTTCAGTTGGTAGTGGGATTGGAGGTGGCGTTCAGAGCAGTCTGGAGCCCCTGTCTCCTTCCCGTCAGGGCAATCCCACGGCCCTTCTCTGCGCGCAGTGTGCGTGCCTCCGGAACCTCCTTTCGCCGTTTCCCCGAAGTCCCGCCTTACAGCCCGGCTCCCTATGGATGAGCCTGGGTCCCCGGGGTCTGGCCTAGAATTGGGGTTCAGAGCAGTTGGAGCTGGGCCCAGCACAGTCGGAGCTTTTCTCTCCTTCCCGCTAGGGACCGCCAGCCAGGCACTCGGCCTCCCTCCTCTCCGGCTCTGTCCTCTCCGCGCGTGCCGCGTGTCTCCGTACCTTGGGCTTTTACAGCTCCTTCGCGCTTCCTTCTGGTTTTCTCCTTGCTTCTTGTTGTAGAATTTCCAGTCAGTCGACTTTCCTGTAGTTCTGGGTAATGTACATTTTATATTTTAGTTGTATTTTGTTGAAATTGTTGTGTGCGGCTGCGGCTAGTTGCCTACCCCAGCCATCTTGGATTCTCTCCACGTGTCCCACCTTGATAGCTCTTATGAGGTCCAGACTCAAATAATAATATTAACAACAATAACAACAACCAAAGTAACTTACACTCAACTATTCACTGCATACCAAATCTACTTGAAGCACTTTACATGACTGAGTCATTGATTCTCATCACATATTTTTGAAGTAGGTACACCATCATCCCACTCAATAGATGGAGAAATTAAGACACAAATCACCTGATTATCTTCCAATCCAAAATTGATAAATAGTAGATGTGGAATTTTAAACTAAGCAGCTGAGTTTATCTACTATACCAAAATGTTGATATCTATTCATCCAACATATTTTTATGACATGTTACTCAAGACAGAAATCTGAAAGCCACTTTGTATTATTTTCTCTCTCTCCACATTTAAGCTTTTCGGAATTCCTAGTCATTTTAGCTTATAAAAATGCACCTTGAATCCAAGTATTTTCCATTTCTCCTACCACAACCTAGTCCAGGGTTTTCTATTTAGGCATCATTTGGCATTTGGGGCCAGATTATTCTTTGTTGTGTGGGGCTATGGTGTGAATCTTTAGGATCATTAGCAGACTCTATGGCCTTTTCCCACTAGATGCCAGTAGCAACCCCCATCACGACCAGAAAAAAATGTCTCCAAACCTTGCCAAGTGCCCCCTGGAGGGCAGAGAGCCACTAATTTAATACAGCTCTCACTATCTTTTGACTAAAGTACACTAGTCTCCTATGTGGTCTTCTTGCTCCAAATTTTATTTTTATTTTGTTATCAGCAAAATAAACAGAAAGTGCAAATAAGATTGTTATTCCTCTGTCTAAAATGCACTGTTTCCTATTGAATTTAGAAAAAAGGTTTAAGACATAATATTTGATTTTTAAAAGGTTTGAATGATCTGACTCTGCCAAATTTATCAGTCCTGTCGCATATTGTCTTCCCCTTTGCCTCACCCACATAGAATTCTTTCAGCAACTTGAATCAGTTGAGTTTTCCACCAACTCACTCCTCCCTCTGCCTCCCTCTCCCTAGTGCTTCTCCCTCTCCTCAGCGTGTGTGTATACACACAAAACACCACATACACACATCCCACACACACCACACCACATACATACACACCACACACCACACACACACACTACATCACATACACACATCCCACACATACCACACCACATACATACACACCACACACACACACTACATCACATACACATACACACCATACCCACAACATACCACACACACCATACCTGACACCACACACACACCCCACACATGCATACACACACCACACATATACACATCACACACACACCACATACCTTCTATACATACCACACATACCACACACACCTCACACCTCTCACATACACACAACTTACACATATACGTATTCCAAACGTGCACATACGCCACATACTCCACTCATACCACACACAGCACAGTACTACATACTACACACACCTCCCACACCATACAAATACACATACACCACACACATACATACCACATATGCACATAACTCATATACCCGCACACAACTCACATATATGTCACACACAAAACACAGAAAATATATCCCACACACATGCACACACATCACACATATGCACAGACCATGCATATTACTCCAAGCTGACTCTGCATTTCATATACTTGGCTCCTTGTCATCCTTTAGGCCTCTGCTTTAGCATCACCTTCACAGAGAGACCTCTAACCACTCTACCCAAATACATTCCCCCTTGCTCCCTCCCATTATTCTCCATCATGCCTTGGACCTGCTTCCTTCATGTCACTTGTAGGTATGTATTGATGTGTGCGTTTTCTATCTCACACATTAGTCCCATGAGTGCCCAGGCCATGGCAGTGTTGTTTACTGTGGTGTTCCCGACCCCTTGGCTCTGGCCTGGCACATGGACACTCAGTTCATTACTCAGTGGAGAGGCTGGTCAGTGCCAGCTGGTTAGAACGGATGAGTAAGTTCTGACTCCTTGGGAATAATGATATGAGCAACAAAGGAGGCTGAAGCCGTGACCAGGCATATAATCAGAGCCCACGTGGTTTGTCTTGGAATAAAGGAAATCCTAGCTGGGCTACCACTGTGCATTCTTGAGCTGTGAACGGGTCTCTCCCAGGTCAGGCTTGTTATTTCTGGCGCCAGTTGCCCACCACAGGCTAAGCCCTGAGTAGCCTGGTTTTCCCCCTTTCGGTATGTGGTTAGTAACTTGGGGGAAGTACCCCATTATCAGTTGTCCTGGGCCCCACGTTCAGGATGTTAGGAAACAGAAATTAATTATAACTCTCTTGGAACCATTTCAACAGCTGTGGTTTTTGAGGAACTTGGCTCTTTCAGAGCCAGTGTGAGAGAAGGGGAGATGGGCAGGGGGAGAGTGTTCTGTGCCCTCCTTCTTGGGGTACAAGTGCAACATCCCCTAGGGCATGTCTATGGTGCATGTGTGTGCTCACATGTATACACATGTGGGCGAGCCTGTGCATACATACACTTGAGCCCTTGTGTGAACTTGTCATAGCTGAAGCTGCAAGAGGCTTTAGCTAATATTTAGCCAACCTTCTCATTTCATAGCAGGAAGGTGAGGCCCTGAGGAATTTGACTTACCTAATGTTACCCAGCCAGTTCATGGAAGAGCTGGGTTCAAACAAAACCAAAGTTTCTTTCACTCTATTTCACTGTCTGGAAGATTCATTTCAAAATAAAACATTTGATTTTTTTTTTTATAAAGAATAATACGTAGATGAAGATTCAGAACGGCCATACTGGGTGCTCTGGGCTTGGTTAACCCAGAGAAGGCACCCCTTTGAGCTTTCTTTATAAGAGCAGCACTTGGCAGAGGAGTCCATCTGTAGATGAAATCCCAGCCTTGACCTCTGACCTCAACCCCATTCTTGCATCCCCACCCTGCTAGTTTCTTTGGCTTCAGCCATGACTTATCAACCACCACCCAGCCTGCCTGGGTTCCTCCTCCAGCCCCTTGATGTGGTTCTGCCTTAGCCACTCAGCCGATCCCCAACATGACTCCAGCCTAGTTCTTGCTTGTCCTGAACACATGGTAGCCACTCTGAATACCTGTGGACCCAACCAACCCTTCAGCCCTTTTCTTAAAGACTCACCTAATGGCTGAAACCGGTTTGGCTCAGTGGATAGGGCAACAGCCTGTGGACTGAAAGGTCCCAGGTTTGATTCCGGTCAAGGGCATGTACCTTGGTTGTGGGCACATCGCCAGTAGGAGATGTGCAAGAGGTAGCTGATCGATGATTCTCTCTCATTGATGTTTCTAACTCTCTATCTCTCTCTCTTCCTCTCTGTAAAAAATCAATAAAATATATTAAAACAAAACAAAAAAACAACAACTCACCTATCGGCCCAGAGCACGGCCTTCACCACTAGAATTCAAGAGCCCGGCGCTAACCCCACCTGTCTTGTTAGCCTCCCCTTCCTCGGAAATACTGAGAGGCGTGGCCACCACACAGAGGCAAAGGGCATTTCCCATTGGTGCAAACTGGTTTCCGTTTTTCATTGACCCATTTTACAGTGTGTTAACAGGAGGCAATGGTTATGGCATTGGCAGTACCCACAGCATGTCTTCCTAAGATGTGATTTTATTTTCGGTTAATCTTTAGCTGAGGATATTTTTCCTTTGATTTTTAGGGAGGGTGGTAGAAAGAGGGAAAGACAGAGAGAAATATTGATGTGAGAGAAACACATTGATTGGTTGCCTCCTCCATGCACCCCGACCAGGGCCTGGCCCAGAAAGGAGGAGCCTGCAACCCAGGTACGTGCCCTTGACCAGAATTGAACCAGACCCTTTGGTCCATAGGCAGACGCTCTATCCACTGAGCGAAACAGGCTAGGCCCTAAGATATGATCTTGACAGTTCTTATTTGCTATGTCCCTGGAGCTGCTCTGGTCTTTGCATTTTCCCAGCCTCGCGCTCCTGCCTTCCTGTCTGTTCTGTGAATTTCCCTAAACCCTTCCAATAAACTTATTTTTTTACTTCAGTTAATCCAGGGTTGGTTTGTGTTGTTTGTGCTTTGAAGCATACAACATAGGTGGGTGAGTTAACCTTCCTCAGAAGTGTTCTGAATGGGATACAGAAACTCTCAGTGGCTCACTTTAGTCACTGGTTGTAGAAAAAAAAAGGGGTATGGGGGAGGCTGCAGAGGAACTTATATAATCTATATGCTCCAAGGAAGTAAGAGGCATTGTAAGTATGGATGACTGTTTATCCTCAGATCTGCGTGACTACATAAATAATATTGCATGAATGAATGAATGAATGAATGAATGAATGAATGAAATCTTCAAAGAAAAGTTGGCTCGCCTTGGAGTTTCCTTCCCAGGTGGAGAACATAAGTTGCAAATAACTGTACCTACTTATCTGTGTATCATTATGATACGATTTAACTCACAGTCTTAACAGCAAAAATACTTTTTATCCGATAAATGTCTTGAGATGGGAAGAGAACTTGACCCTGGAAGTCCTGATTCCTTAAGCTCTGCTTCCTTGATAGGTTCTGGAAGGGAAGAATCTGAAGAGGGATTGATTTGCCTGTGGCCTCGTGAATCATTTTAATTGTCTAGCACTGGGCTTACATCATCTTTGTGGCTCAACCCTGAAAGAGGTTTCTGTACTATTAAGAAGCTCCCAAGTTAAAAACTAATTCCCAAATAGGATTGCACATTTTGGAAGGCATTGGAGGATCTGCAGTGCACCGTCAGGAAGCCCCGTGCCAAGCAAATGCTTCTTTGAGACCTGGGTAAGCTGACTTCCCCAGGCCCTGTCCCAACAATAGTCCCACCAGCATTGCTTCAAGTGGAACATCATTTTATCCACAAGAGACTGTTTCACACATCCTCTGAGGGTTTTTTTGTTTGTTTGTTTGTTTTGTTTTTTGTTGTTGTTTGGTCTGTTTTATGCCAGTGGTCTTGCAATGGGCAGGCATGGGTATCCCTTCTAAACCCTAGAGATAGCATTTTCTCTAAAGTCTACGTCAGGACATGAAGAAGTTCCAGATGACAAGAAGACATTCCCTCTTTCGGAAAATAGACTACATAATTTCTCAGTGAATTTCTCTGTGCAGGCTGACACAGAGCGACTCATCGGCTTTGTGGCGTTTTAAAGGCACAGGCTGCTGTTCCTGCTTCCCGAATCAAAAAGCCATGCGCATCCTGGCAGAGGGGACCCTGAGGGCGTGCGGGGGGTCGATGCTGGAAATCCACAGGGAACAAGCCTGGTCTTGACCAGAGAGGTAGGAGTGTGGGGGAGTATTCCAAATGAATTCTGAGTCACTGGGAAACTGATTTTTCCAGCTGAGGAAGGACCTAAAGACTAGATCCAGAGGGGGTGGGGAGACGCGGGAACTTATATCACGTATGCATAGCCCGTGGACACAGACAATAGTCTGGTGAAGGCCTGGGGCGGGGGGGGGGGGGGGGGGGGGGGCGCGGATGGAGGGCTGGGGGGGGTGTCAATGGGGAAAAAGAGGACATCTGTAATACTTTCAACAATAAAGATAATTTTTAAAAAAAAGAAAGAAAAAGAAAAAAGAATAGATCCAGAGAAAAGAGTGTTGGGAGGTAGAACACCCAGTGCAGGCTGCTCAAATTAAGACGTGGGAGTAGTTCAGAGAGCAATCTGATTGGTTTTGATGAGCAGCATCTTTCTTGTTTGTAATGCTTCACCTTCACTTTTTAGTCTTCAATGTGCTGTCTTGCATGGATCTGATAAAGGGATAAAAGCACTTCTACTTAACATAGAGATGAGAGACCTTTACTATTCAACTGCCCACAGGTAGATCTCACACTGCTTCTCTTGGGCTGGGAGGACAGGAGGAAAACTCACTTAGCTACTGAACTCAGAGAAAAGCGTGGTCCTCTGTATGGTTCAGTGTTAGGTTTCCCCCTTCCTGCCCACGTGGTGAAGCTGAGATGGCACTGACTGCTGCGGTCTGTTTTCCTTTTACAGAGCCATTTTTTTCTCTAAGGATCTTGAGTCTTATTTTCATAGTGAACGAGTGTTGTCTCTACCTCCCAACACTCTTTTCTCGGGATCTATTCTTTTTCTTTTTTAAAAAAATGTATCTTTATTGTTGAAAGTATTACAGATGTCTTTTCTCCCCCCCACCTCCCCCGCCCCTCCCCAGAAGCCTGAGATACAGGAAAGAATGGATCCTGAAGGGCCTCAGTTCCTAAAACATTGCTATCATCAGGATGTTTGCAGATCAGGCATCAGAGGAGTGACAGAGATGTTAGGAAGATGAGGAGGGAACCTCCTAGGAAGAGCCTGTTTTCATACGCAGTGGCCCAGACCAACCAAGATCTGGGTAGAGACAAGGGTAAAATAAGACTGTGTTTTGGAAACTGTGGTAAGAAGGAGGCAATGAGTCAGTGCTTACTCTCCCCAGAAAAATACATTGCTCACCGGAGAGGCCGCGGGGCAAAGCCCGTACATGTATCTGGAGGAGGGGTGGGAAGGGCAGATGGGCACATGGGAATCTGGAGGGAATGGAGTTGGGGTGGGGTGGCGAGGGGAGAGAGAATGTGAATGAACAAAAGATGGGAAAACACATTGGGGAAATGGTACTGAGAGTGGGTCTCTGGGGTGGAAGGAGCTGTCAAAACAGAAGCAGAACTCCTGCGCGGAGCTGATAGTGAAGGGAGATTTGCAGATTGGGTGGGAAACCCACAGACTTTTTTTTTTTTTTTTTTTTTTTTAAATGGTGTGCGTGCTTCTAATTTTAATTCAATATGTGTGAAACAAATGTGGTTGAGAGCAGTGTAGTCTTGGTGACTTAGGGCTATAATTAATGTCCAAGTTTAGGGTTTGACCACACACAGCATACCTGGAAACAGGCCTTTGTTTATCAGTTGCTGAAATAGAAGCTGAGTCACAGAAGTGACACAAGCAGAGCGGGTGCCTGTCTCAGACCTCCTGGGGGGTTAATGAACTTTGCCTTTTCTTGCTTGGCCTGGAGATCTCCTCTCTGATGATATCTATCCACTTTGCTCAAGGATGATCCCCTTAAGGGATGGTCCTAGATACCAGTGACTATACGTGTATGTCTGACTGGCTTTCAGAGTTGAGCTGTATATAGGGCATTTCATCAATTATTGTAGATTGTCAATAATTCCACTCACTGTTCTAAACTGGTGATTGAAGAGAGTTCAAGATCAAACTCCCCGATTTGCTTAAATTGCATTTCATCTGTACTTGAAGGGAACATGGAGGAAAACTCCACCTGCTTTGGAAAAAGACACGTGAATTTTTTCCCACCTTGTGGTAAATAGCTGCCATCATTATCCACTCTGCTCCCAGGCCCGAACCCTGGTCAGAGTAGGAAATAGGCTGAGTAAGAAGTACTACTGTCTCAGTGACTCAAGGGCCATTAAAAACAGTGGGATGGACTTAGATATATAAGTAATGGTAGGTCATCCCCCTATTCTCCATAGTCTTTCTATCACAGATAGGAAAGACCGTGAGGGGAATTCAAGATGACCCCTTGGGGGCAAGAAGAAAACAATACAGCCTCTATTATATTGATTTCTTATCCTTTTAAATGTTCTATTTTTGTGTATATATGTGTTTTATTCATCTATTTATCATCTATCATAGGTTATCTATCTATCTATCTATCTATCTATCTATCTATCTATCTATCTATCCATTCTTCTATCAAGAGGCCCATTGAACACCATTTTTGGAATTACAAATTCCTGAGAGATTTTATTTCAGTAGTTTTCAGGGGAGTCCTAGGAAACCATCCTTAAGTGACTTGTTTATTTTCAGTAAGGAAGCCTTTCTTAAATAAACCTGACACAAAATTCTAACATGTAAAACAGGTAAGATGGACTGCTCTAGTCTTGGCTGGTGTTTCTCAGTGGTTAGAGCATCAACTCTTGCACTGAAGGGTCATGTGTTTGATTCCAGTCAAGGGCATGTACCTGAATTGCAGGTTCAATCCCTGGCCCTGGTTGGGGTGTGTGCAGGAGGCAACCAATCGATGTGTCTCTCTCACATTGATTTTTTAAAATATATATATTATATTGATTTTTTTTCAGAGAGGAAGGGAGAGAGATAGAGTTAGAAACATCAATGAGAGAGAAACATCAATCAGCTGCCTCCTGCACAGCTCCTACAGGAATGTGCCTGCAACCAAGCAAGGTACATGCCCTTGACTGGAATTGAAGCTGGGTTCTTTCAGTTCACAGGCCAATGCTCTATCCACTGAGCCAAACCGGTTAGGGCTCACATTGACGTTTTTCTCTCTCCCTCCCTCCCTTCCAGCCTCTCTAAAAATCAATGGGAAAAATGTCCTCAGATGAGGATAAGCAAACAACAACAACAAAAAGATGACTGCTCTTTTGAAGGAGGACAGGAGACAGGGTAGGGGATGGCCCAGCCCCCAGGCTTTCCCTTTCATTTGCTCTGCTCTCTGCTCTCCAGGCCTGTGTCAACTTCCATTTGGAAACCACTGTGGTAGCTTATGAAACATGCATCTTTGAAGATGACCTGGCTCATGTCTGAAACCAGACTAACAGGACATGGTCCCGCTCTCAGGTTTGATCTTATATTTCCCACTAAGTGGTCCATCCCAGTCTCTTCTTCATGCCACGTGCTAAACACCCACTCGCAGCCCAGGCCAACAGAAGCTGGCTTTCCCAGGCCATTTTCCACCTCCCCACGGCTGCTTCATTTTTCTCAGCAGTAACTTCCCAATAGTTATCAGTTAATACTTTCTCCCTGAGTATTCTTGTTCATTGCAGAGTATGACCAAACCTCTGCAGCAAGCTTCTCTGAACTTATTGCAGATGTGCAATTAGAGATTTTTCTTAAACTAAATGCAATCTCACATTCTAGGCACACCTCACGCTTTAGCTAATGCAGTTATGATCATAATTTTATTTCTGATTTTGCTGGTTTAGAGATGGCCCATTTCCCAAGGGCACTTCACATGGTACTTTATAGAGTTACATTATCTTCATGAGCCACTTTGAGGGGCAAATATCCTCTTAGAATTATGGGGGGATATGGGAATGGCCAATAGAGACACATCCCTCCAACTGGCCTTCAAAAAGGACTCTGCCCAGCTACTTGGAGGGTAGCTAGCTGACAGCTGACACTCTCCCCAGTAGCAAACCTTTATATATATATATATATATATATATATATATATATATATATATATATATATATATATATATATATATAATTGATTTTTTTTTACAGAGAAGAAGAGAGAGGGATAGGAATTAGAAACATTGATCAGCTGCCTCCTGCACATCTCCCACTGGGGATGTGCCTGAAACTTAGGCACATGCCCTTGACTGGAATAGAACCTGGGACCTTTCAGTCCACAGGCCGACACACTATCTTAAATTAGTTAGCTAATTTAACCCAAACCAATTTTGGCCCCAGTAGCAACTCTTGAACCAGACTACTGCAGAGGAATCTCTCATTAGAAAGTAAATATCTTGGTCCACAGGTGACACATAGACCACGGTCACATGACCTTGTCTAACCCGAGAGGAGAACAGGATAAATGCAAGCACTAAACATGTCTATCACAGCAGCCTCCGAGTGTGCCAGAAAATTCCATTGATTATTGTCAGGGTAAATTTCAAAAGCTCTCTTACTGTATTAATTAATACCCATTATCACCCAATAGAATACAAATCATGAATTAGTTTGTCAGTTTTCGTTTTGTTGCTAATACTTTGAAGGAATGAAAAGCCATGGGGAAAGCACACTTGAAGATCCCTTCTTAATAAAAAGTGGCCCAGGGACTTGGCCAGACAGGGCAGAGCTGTGTGGGAGATGCTTGGGTGGCCCCTCTCTGGAGATGGATGGTGGGTGAGGGCAGTGAGGGTCTGAAGGAGAAGACCTTCTCAGGGAAGAAGGGCATCGAGAGATGGTAGAGGCCACCCATGGCCAACTTCCTTGAATTCCCCGTTTTGTCCCCAGCTGCTCACGTGAGCAAAGCATCTTTCAAATGTCTGTGAGTGTCATTTGAATGATACCACATCTTATCAAACCTTTGATCTGATGTTTGTCTCTGATCTGCCCTCCTTTTTCGCTGCCTTCCCACCCCCACCACACTGCTTTGAAAATGTTAAGTTGCTTGCGTAGACAATTGGGTTTCCTGTCACACTTTGGTGTCTGCCATGCTATGGAGACCGACAGGACAGAGATACACACTGTAGAAGGAAGTCACACTTGGTTTCGGTGCAAATTGACTTGTTAGATCCTTGA